CCGATGGTGGTGTTTGCTGTATTGATGAGTTCGATAAGATGAACGATTCCACGCGTTCCGTCCTTCACGAAGTCATGGAACAGCAGACTGTGTCTATCGCTAAGGCGGGTATCATTACTACCCTGAACGCCCGAACATCCATCTTGGCCTCTGCCAACCCCATCGGGAGTAGGTACAACCCTAAACTGGCTGTTCCCCAGAACATTGATTTGCCACCTACTCTGCTCTCTCGTTTCGACCTGGTGTACTTGGTTCTTGACCGTGTCGACGAGACGGAAGATCGTCGCCTGGCCAAGCACTTGGTTGGCATGTATCTGGAGGATAACCCTGAGAACGCCAGCTCCCAAGAGATTCTGGTAAGTGACCTTTCAGGTGCAATCAATTAGAGAGATTTCTAACCGTTTTGTCTAGCCTATCGAATTCCTTACGGCCTACATTACATACGCCAAGACCAACTGCCACCCTGTGATCACCCCGGCTGCCGGTGCTGCACTAACCGATGCTTACGTGGCTATGCGCCAGCTAGGTGATGACATCCGCGCTCAAGAGCGCCGTATCACCGCCACCACTCGACAGCTGGAGTCGATGATCCGACTTTCCGAGGCGCACGCTCGCATGCGTCTGTCCACCGAGGTCACCGTGGCCGATGTTGAGGAGGCCGTGCGTCTCATCCGCTCCGCCATCAAGGCAGCGGCCACCGATGCCCGAACCGGTCTCATCGATATGGGCCTTCTGACCGAAGGTAGCAGCGCCGCTGACCGTCGTCTCCGTGACGACCTGAAGAAGGCGGTGCTGTCCCGCCTTGATGAACGTGGCGGAGTGAGTGGCGGTGCGGTCCGCTGGACTGACCTGTATCGCGATGTGAACGAGCAGAGCGATAACAAACTTGACCACAACCAGTTCGGTGATGCGGTGCGCTCACTAGAGACGGAGGGCTCAGTGAATGTCTTCGGTGAGGGTGCTCGTCGCAGTGTCCGCCGGGCAGCCATGAGCATGTCCTAGGTGGCTGCGATGATACCAATGATGTGATGATAGATTAGGGTGCATGTCATCTCTGACTGAGGGTGTTCTGGCGTTGGTATTTTTATGGATAATGCTATGGGATTCGGTCTCAGAATTGTTGTATATTGTATATTGTGTATTGTAGGTTGTAGATTGATCGCAATGTTTACCAATATCTTTCAAACTCATAAATTCCCGAAAGTGGCTGGCTTTGTTAGAGACAAAGTAAGACATCGACAACAAAGTACGAGGTCACATGAATCTACTCCATACGGAGTAGCTAGACCCAACAAGCACAATGCCCCGGGTGGGGCTCGATCGCCCACTGATGTTGCATATGGCGACTCATATCCCTTGTCCTGCAACAAGCATTGACCAAGGAAATTGGGAGGATTTAGGATTTTCAAGATTGGAAAGCGCAACAGTTTATTGATTGCACCTCTCATTCATAAAATAATGGAATAGAATAGGACATCGGTACGGAGTACTCCGTAGAATGATGAGCCTTGGAATATAAAATGAGGTAAACACAGAGAAGACTTGACACAGACTAAACACAGAGAGAGAGACTAAGGTGCCCACGTGCGCTGATGACTGGTCAGATAGTTAACGTCACCAAAGGGGGTGGACCTGTGGGAGGTATGGGGGGGACCAAATTACCATACCAGCATTACTAACATTACGAAAATTACTAAAATTACCAGATGTACATCTAGATCGCCTGCATCAGTTTCCTGATAATCTCCCAATATATAGCCATTGAAAGGAGATTTGATCTTATTATACCTAAAGAATACATTCCAATGTCACCGTTCAGCTACCTACAGAGTCAAACATCTCCAATTCAAACAAACTAGATCAGATTGTATCGCCTTAACATTTAGCACACCCACTTCGATGGGAGGATGGGGCCGTCACCCGCTAGTCATCGGACTAGCCGAGTTCGGCCCCATTATAACTTCTTTGGTCCTCTACCTTCGGAGAGCTAGAACCCTCCGAATTTGGCCACCCTGCTCCCCTCACCGGGTTATTTTTTTTCTTCTTTCTTCTCTTTCCCGTCATGAGCTTGGGATAAACACGAACTCCTCGTTACATTTCTCCCTACCACCACCATGAGGTATGTAACTCCCAATCTCAATCTCAATCCCGTTATCTTCCAACTCCAGCCACTCCACTCCCCGCGCCTCAAACGTACTGACTCAATGGTTTCACAGGTTCGGTGAATATCTCCGTTCTTCCATGATCAAGGAATATTATCCTTACTACATTGCCTACGACGATCTCAAGAAAGCCCTCAAGACAGATTTCGTCGACGAGCCAACCTCCGATAACACCAAACCCGCCCGCAAGGAATGGACCGAGGACGATGAGACGCATTTCGTCTCCTTGCTCGAAAGTGAGCTGGAGAAGGTGTTCCTTTTCCAGAAGCGCAAGAGCGAGGAGATTGTCGCCCGCATCCAAGAAAGCGAGCTCGAAGTGAACGACGTCGTCTCCCGTCTGGACAGCTCGACCGAATCCCGTCGCCAGAGTATTCGAGCTTCTCGGCCCGCGCCCACCGATGCGGATTTCTTGCTGCTTGAGCAGGTCCTCAGTGACATTATTGCTGATGTTCATGACTTGGCCAAATTCACTCAATTAAACTACACCGGGTTCCAGAAGATCATCAAGAAGCATGACGTATGTGCTCCTTCCAATTTGCAAGTCGGGTTCCCCCAATTCGCTAACAATCCCACAGAAAGAAACTCAATGGTACCTCAAGCCTGTTTTCGCGACACGTCTGAAGGCCAAGCCGTTCTTTAAGGACAACTACGACGCTTTTGTAGTCAAACTGTCCAAGCTTTATGACCTGGTCCGGACCAAGGGTAATCCGGTCAAAGGTGACTCGTCTGCCGGTGGTACACAACAGAACTTTGTGCGTCAGACCACAAAGTATTGGGTGCATCGGGATAATATTACGGAGTTGAAGCTGGTGATCTTGAAGCACTTGCCAGTGTTGGTCTTCAATGCCAACAAGGAGTTCGAGGAGAAGGATACGGCCATCTCTTCGGTCTACTATGACAACACGGACACTTGGGAGCTGTATCAGGGTCGTCTGAAGAAAACAGAAGGCGCCGAGGCAATTCGACTGCGTTGGTACGGTGGAATGGAAAGTGACCAGATCTTCGTGGAGCGGAAAACCCACCGCGAGGACTGGACGGGAGAAAAGTCTGTCAAGGCGCGTTTCGTTCTCAAGGAGAAGCACGTCAATGCCTACCTCGATGGCCGCATGACGGTTGAGCAGATCTTCGACAAGATGCGCAAGGAGGGTAAAAAGAGCCCGTCAGAGATTGATGACTTGGAGCAATTGGCTCGCGAGATTCAGTACCGCGTCATTACTCGCCGCTTGGTGCCTGTCACCCGTACATTCTACCACCGCACTGCATTCCAGCTGCCAGGTGATGCTCGTGTTCGAATCTCTCTTGATACGGAATTGACCATGATCCGAGATGATAACCTGGATGGCCGCCAACGGTCTGGGAAGAACTGGCGTCGCATGGATATCGGAGTCGACTTCCCATTCTCCCAACTTCCTCCGGAGGATATCGACCGATTCCCTTATGCCGTGCTGGAGGTGAAGCTGCAAACCCAGGCGGGCCAGGAACCTCCCCAGTGGATTCGGGATTTGACTGCCAGTCACTTGGTTGAGGCAGTCCCCAAATTCAGCAAGTTCATCCACGGAACAGCCACCATGTTCCCTACTCGCATCAATCTACTCCCATTCTGGTTCCCACAGATGGGTGTAGACATCCGCAAACCAGCTAGTCGCGAATTCGGTATCCACAGACCGCTGGCCAGTACCTCAATATCCGCCAATGATGAAGATTCGGATGACGATGAAACCCCTGATTCGCAAGAAACACCCTCCAACGGAGACGTCACCGAGCACCAAAACGGATTGTTTGAGACCAATGGCAACGAATTAGATATCGAAGAACGCATCGCCGCCCAGCCTCTGCCCGGCGACGAAGACTACCCCTTGTACGACTCAGACGACGAATCGGTCTATTCCGACGAACTCGAAGAAGCCCGTCGCATCGGGGGTGCATACTACGCGCAACAACTAGCTAAACACTACCTCTCTCGAGCTGGTCACGCTGTCGCACAGGGTCTCATGGCGATAATCCCCCGGCCCCGTCCAACATCCCTGCCTCCCCCCGAACAGCGTGGGATCGCTGTCTTGAGTAACCACCGACGCACCCTACAGCGCTTCCAGGCTCCCCCCGGCAAACGTAAGTCATCCCTATGCCATTCTGTGCATCAATCACCCAAACTAACACAAAACTAGGCATCTTCGTTCCCGTCCGCGTGGAACCCAAAGTCTACTTTGCCGCCGAGCGAACCTTCCTCTCCTGGTTGGAATTCTCCATCATCCTCGGTGGAATTGCCGCAACCCTCCTAAACTTCGGCACCGACAATGCCACACTCATATCGTCCTGGGCCTTTACCATCCTCGCCGCCGGCGCCCTCGTCTACAGTCTCGTCCTGTACATCTGGCGCGTCGACAAGATCCGCAAGCGTCGCGACGTCAAGCGTGTCTACTACGAGCGCTGGGGTCCGACGATTGTCAGTATCGGACTCGTCATAATTATTTTGATTAACTTTGCGCTGCGTGTGCACGCTGGCGGGTTTATGGCTGCGCCAGGATCGGAGGGTGAGCATCGCCATGGTGGCCATGGTGAATTGTAGAACTCTTTGTTTGGAAAAGAAGAACTAAGCCGTTCTCTTTTTGTTTTTTTTTGGGATTGGTCACTTTCTCCGCTGCTCATGGGCAGGCTCTTATGTTTATATCTACGTGGCGTTTGGGCTAGGGCGTTTGGGATTGTAAATCATGTACAAACCGCATACATGCTATTGCAAATATAAGAATGGCACTCGATGTCTATTTTATGGAGATTCCTTTATTTTTGTTTTGCATGTTGTACATCAATCCATAAAGTATCCATGGATAGTTAGCAATATTATTCAGGATACGATATATCATCTTCACCAAAAGGTGTAGACTGAAAATGCGAGTTCAGAAAGACATCTTCGAAAAGATTGCCGAACGGAAACGAAAAAGGAAACGCCATGGCCATACCATCTTGCGGAACCTGATCAAACAATCCCCCAGTAGTGTGCATGTTCATACTACCAATATCACTTTCGTCAAGTTGACGACCATTTCCCATCGAGGATCCTGTTACCGGGCGCTCTGGTACCCCCGCACCATCTTTCATCTGCATACCATCAGAGTATCGCTTAAGCGGAGATTCAAAAATCGGATAGAAAGCCGCAACGACGGGGAACCGATCTTGCAACTTGTCAAGAATCAGCATGCAGAGCCGGGCTCGATGCTGTGAGATTATTCGGACACCAGCATCCCCTCTGTAGATATTGACTATGTAAATTGAGAGCACGGAGAGCACGGGGGCAACTCTAAAAAGGGCTTTAGCAAACCTCCCAGGATACATAGTAATTGGGATATAGCTTGTTATGCTATCACGAGGGAACGTACATGCTAGCTGTGGCTGCGTATAGAAGATCCTTTGCCATGAGTATTTCGAGCATGTGGGAGATCTCTGTGCATATCTCGAATGTCGGGGTATCTGGACCGGTGTTGAGCGAGAATCTTGGGTTGTTTCGGTGTAGAACTAGTCGGTATTCTCTGTAGGTTCGATGTGTTCAGAATGAATGGTTTCTGGAGAGTTCATTGGAAGGCTAACCTACTGGTATAATATGCAAGTCAACATAGCCCACTTGCTACTATTTGTTGACAAAGACTTGAATTCCGGGGGGAGGGATGAAAACCACAAGGCAATTTGCTCTAAGCAGATATCTTGCGCGTGACCGCTATCTTCGTCGTATTTAAGAGTGAAGTAGCGATCCACTGTAATATTCGTTAGTAAGGGAGTAAGTAAGTACATTTCGAAACAGGGTGATGGGATGTCGAACCTGTCCAAGCTAATTGCACAGCATGTATCGCGAAGGTATTTGCCCCATTGAGATCTTCTAGGGAAGTTCCTGTCTCTTCAGACTCGACTTGTTCGAAATCTGCTTCCGATAGAAGAGGGACATTGCAAAGTCTTCCTTGTATGTGTGGAGGACGGTCATGAAGCATAGAGAGATTTATGTCCATGGCCTGGTACTAAAAGTCAGACCAGCAATAGACCTTGGGGTTTATGGACAATAACTGACATATATCATCCACCAGAGTCTCCGCCATAATTTCCGATCTTTCTCTTCGAGCCGAATGTATGACTTTCTAGAATACTGATTAGTTGCCCTTAGTCCACATTGGAGGGATGGGGATTGGCAGACTCACGCTTGATGCAATCCTAAAGCCTGTGCCATTCCCACAGAGATACCAACCCAGTACCAAGGATCTTTATGCTCTAGAAGACCATTCCACCAATGGCACATGAGGAACGTAGCTTGAATGGTCACGATAGCATCTGTTTCATATCCAGCATCATAAAGAGCTTTAGCCCTCCGGTAAAAGGTGAGACTTGCAGCATATCGCGACACGAATCCAGCATCAGCAATGACAGAATCAGAACAATATACAGTAGCAGCGACATAAATAGCATTCAAGAGCAAGTGCGAGAATTTGCCTTCCGTGAGAGAGGCAAGAAACCTCGACCTATCAAGAATAGGCAGTGCAGCAAGTGAAAAATGGAAGTAAGCGTCGAGAAGGGCCTGACTGGTCTCTTGTGACGGGAGATCAAATGCGCCTTGGCTCTTCAAACTTTCACTAGTAGATATACGAATCCTTTCAATTTCCTGCGTCGTCGGTCTACCCAACCGGGCCAGCATTGCCCCATGGAGATGGTCTTGGAGCGGACGAACATCCGTCGTACCACCGAAAGGATTTCCAAATTGTTGAATCATGTAGTTGAGATTAGAAGAATCTCCAACATAAGTTGTTTTTCCGCTTGGTCCAAGAGCTGGGAAACATGGCTCTTGCTGTGGCTTATCTCTGTTGACTTGAGCAGAAGTGGTCACAGGTGTATTTGAGCTCGTTACCCCTTCATACGACACATTGGGAGAAGTCTGTGGAAGACTCCTGCTTGAGCCTGCTTCAGTAGGTAGAAGAGGAAGCTTTCGTTTCCTACATCTGAATTAGTCGTAATATGATAGCTCGGTATTTGCAACCTTACCGTCCACGGCGAGATATAATCAGCTCACATTGGCGTCGGGCATTCCGGCAGTTGGAACACGCCACGCCTTCACTGCGATCGCATTTGACTCGTCTGTCATGACACAGACGACAGGCGACTTTGGCTGGACTACTACGTGGCATTTAATAATTTTGAAAGGCAGTTTGATTGTAGTAAGTTCGGCGTCTTGATTTCGGCGAATTTAGCAACCTCGGACCCACCAAGTCGCCGAATTCTTGCGCGTCTTATTGGTTGATATCTTGATATCTGCCTTCTCATTGGATGCTCAACACCCAGCTGTTTCGAAATAACTATAAAACTTCTCCAAGGGAGAATTAAGCTGATTCTATCTTTTACACTTGACTTCTCAAGCTAGCAAAATACTCAAGTTTAGCTGGTGATCATGCTTTTGAATACGTCCTCTCGGAATATACTCCGTCACTCCAATCCAAAGCAATGGTCACAGTGTCTCTTACCTACCATCGCTACAACACGATACCTACGCACATCCTCGGAGCCCAGCAGCTCTACATCTACACCCATACCATTTGAAAGACAGAAAGATGGAACGTCTGGGTATCTCCTGTATGTTCAATACTACGCCAACCCACAATTCTACTGATCTAGCCCTAACATTTTCTACTAACCCAGTGCAAAAGCCGACGAACTTGTAAACTGGGGAAGACAAGGCTCCCTCTGGCCCTTATCATTCGGACTCGCCTGCTGCGGAATTGAAATGATGCACACCTCAATGCCACGCTACGATCAAGATCGACTAGGCATTATTTTCCGCGCCTCGCCACGACAAGCAGATGTCATGATTGTAGCCGGCACGGTAGTCAACAAGATGGCTCCGGCAGTGCGACAACTATATGATCAGATGCCCGAGCCTCGATGGGTAATTAGCATGGGTAGTTGTGCAAATGGTGGAGGGTATTACCACTACAGTTACAATGTTGTGCGTGGCGTGGACCGCATCGTGCCTGTGGATATTTATGTGCCTGGGTGTCCGCCGACTGCAGAGGCACTTTTGCAGGGGATTTTTCTTCTACAGAAGAAGATGCGGAGGACGCAGGTGACCAGGATGTGGTATCGGCGATAAGTGAAGATTGAATTGGGGTATATAGAAATTGCGGTATTCATTCCTCCACCTCGATTTGCATCTCTCGCTCTAGTGGACAATGCATGTCAGTATATCTAAAACAAATTCTGCGTTCATCACAAAATACATACCCCAGATATTAATCGCATGTGAAACAATCGTCTCGGCCTTAACCATCAACTTCGCAGTATACCTCTCCGCCTCTGTCGGATAGAGCTGACTTTTCTGCGCTTTGCGAGGATTGGCCTAGACACACCAGGGATAGGTTAGTAGATGATCACACACAGTCTCTAACAAGACATGCAAAAAAGAAAGTCCAAAAAGCCCACCATCATAAGAACAGGAACCAAATCCTTCGGTTCGGCCTCAGCCAAAGCCCTCAAATTCCTAAACCCATTATCCCTCAGCAACCGCGCGGTCCAACTTTTAACAAAAGTAACCTGCGCCATCTCGAGCAGATCCGCCCGCGCGCCAGCTTCGAGTCTATCGCGCATATGATCTAAAACGACCGCCATCATACCCCAGTTCATGCGCTGGCAAAATTTGACGATGCCGGCAGCGAAGCCGTGGCATTGCTGTGCTAGGGTTTGGATCGTGCCGCGGGGGATTTTGTAGCGTTGGGCTATTGTTGAGAGGGGGACTTCGTTGCTGAGATCGCGGAGTTGGAAGGCTGTGTAGGCGCGACGGTAGATTCGGGCTTGTTTTATTTGGGCTGGGTTTGTTTCTTTTAGGGAGGCACCCGATTGGACCCTGGTAATGGGGTGTTAGTTTAGGATTTGGATAGGCTGGGTGGAGAGGTATGGTGTGAATATGTATAGGAAGGAGACGTACATTGTGTTGACGAAACCCGGTTGCACTCCGACGAATTGTAGAGCTCGGAGACCGCTCTCGTCTAGCCGGTCTAGTTGATCACGGAAAATCTGCCAGTCGATGGGGGTGTTCATAGCTGCTTGGAGTGGTGTGAACATGTAGAAGATGTGCATGTCACCGTCCATGACGAAGGCCTGTAATGCTCGTTTCAACTCTTCGTGAACGAATAGGCCGTCTTCGGGTGAGAATGCTGAGGCCACGACTGCCTGTCCTAATGGTGTGGCTTCGTATGATTCGTCATCTCGGAAAATCAGAAGTTCTTCGTCGACTAGTTCCTGAAGAGCTGATCTCATGATGTTGTATGCGAGCTTCTTGTCCAATGTGCGGTAAAGAAGCGTGCACCGGACATATTCTTTGATCGCCTCGCAGCCGGATACCAGTCCTGTTGCCACGGCTTCAAGTAAAGCCCTTTGGAGTGTGAGCAAATAATTCAGGGATAATACAATAGAATTGGATGAAAAATACATACCGTTTGAGGCCTCTTTTCTCCGGCGCGAGGCAGCTCTCAATAGCTGGCATATCGGCATCTAACAGATCGCAAACAGCCTGCATATCAGCTTTCACGCAGATGAGATAGGTTTCGCCGGCGTCATCCTTGCCTTTGCGGCCAGCACGACCGCACATTTGACGACTGTTTTTGTCAGTTCATACTCCCAACTTCAGAAAGGAGGCACCTACAGCATAGCCGGACCTACTAGTTCATGACCCATACGCGCACCATTTATGATGACTCGTCTCGCTGGGAGGTTTACACCAGCGGCAAGACTGCATGTGGCCACGAGAACTTTGATCACGCCCTGGTCGTAGGCCTGTGCAATTAGCTCCCGCTCTTCGGTGGTCATGCCAGCATCTAAGTGGTCATTAGTAATGGTCAGAGCTCTATCATGGATGTCAGAATACTAACTGTGAAACCCTGTTCCTTTGATGATTGCTGTCTCCAAAGCTGGGTCCAGCCCGCAAGCGAGACTACGCAGTTCTGCGAGAAGATCAAGTCGCTTGTTCAATTCTTCCGCCTCTGCTGGCGGCATCGCTTCACCGATAGTCGCGGCATGGATCTGACATGCATTACGACTACCACAAAACACCAACGATCCAAACCCAGCAGCTGCAGTTTCCACTGCTAACGCTACCATGGCATTTGTGGCGGAGTTGCTGAGCTGCTTGAAGGTAGAAGGTTCAATTATCCGGTGGGGAGGTATGGTATCGTGTAAAGACGCAGCAGCAGTCAGCTTGGATGCCGTTTGGAACAATTGCCTCGATGTTGCAGCTGGGTAGATTCCATTCTCGTATACCAAGTATTCATCGATGGGGATTGGTCTGTATGTGGAGATGTAGAACTTGGCGTTCATCCATTGTGCCAACATCTCGGTGTTCTGTAGGACGGTTAGAGCAGCCCACCGAAGGATTGGACCATAGACTCACGGAAAGCGTAGCACTCATCCCAACAATCTGGATGTCCTGCTGTAATAACAGCAGCTTCGTGACCATCAACTCCAAGAGATAGCCCCGATGTTCATCATCGAGCATGTGCAATTCGTCGAGAACCACGACTCCCAAGTCTCCAATGTTACACTCTTCGATAGCGCTGTTTATCAACGAATTGGCCTAATAAAGGGGATATCAGAATTCTGCATGCAACACTGAACGGCAATCGTGCACACCTTCTCTATCGTACAAACAGCAATATCAGTATCGGCCCATGTAGCTGTCGTCCGACTTCCACCAAAGAAGCCCGTCACCCTGATATTCTTATGGAATTTCTTCCATTGCCTGCGAGGGAATTTGTCGTCATCTTCATTATCCGGGGTATTCCTCTCCACATCTTGTACAATGCGACGCATCCACTTGAGCTTCTCCTGAACCAAAGCAACATAAGGTAAAACCAACAGCGCTTTACGCCCCGGGTTTTCAATAATGCGTTTCAAAAGCAAAACATCCGCAACGAGGGACTTTCCACCGCCCGTCGGAGCCGTGTAAACCAAATGACGTTCACCGGAGAGCAACCCCCTAGCCAGCAAACACGACGCCTGCCACGGGTAGATATTTCTAACACCGAGTGTGGCAAAATTAGCCGTGAGAGCAGGCGGCAGGCCATACTTTGGATTAGACAGGGATAGCAGAGGATTCTGACTAGAAGGCGGGGCAGTCGCAGCCACGGCCTTTTGATGATCATCCGGGGATGGCTCCGCGCCCGTGCCCGCACCAGGATAAATCTTGCTAGCGGTGAAGCGATGGACGGGGGTTAGCAGATCACGGGCAGACTGCAACGGAGCTGATTCCAATATGGTGTCTGGATTGACATTTTGGAGAGGTAAAGTAGCAGTAGCTTGTTCTACGACTGGGCCAAGAGGTGGGATATCGGGGACATGATCTGTGGGCTCTGTTGGTGGTCGCTTCTGTCCTGCGACGGGCGCTACGTGATACGCTTGTCGGCGGGCGATATCAATGGATGTTTGAAAACGAGACTGGACTTGACCCGATGTCGACATGTCTGCCTAGCCCATTCGTCTTGGGGAGGGATAAAACCAAGTTTGATTTAATCAAAATTGGCCATCTCTCCAGATGTCTGGATTTTTGAATGTTTGATGTTTACATGTAATATTTTGATGTTGTTTCCCATGTTTTTTTATTGTTTTAATTCTACACGCGGCTTAGTCCTTGTTGCCTGAGGCACCATAGATTATATCAGCAGCTATGTCATCCACTCGAATCACCTGGGCACCCAGTCGCTCGGGACTGTGGCTGGGGGTCTTAACTTGATGTGCCTGAGAGAGACATCGACGATCGTATTTTCAATAATGTGCATATTGCGGGATTATTACTCTTATTGCATGTTCCCATGCCCCCATGCCCCCATGCTCTGCATCATTGAACTATAGTTCCGATGTGGCAAACCTAGAGTCCCTTGCTCGGGGACTACACCAACTTTGTACAAGATCGTACTTAAGTGGAGGCTTATGTGGGTGCTGTTCTTCCAAGCCCTACCCTGATTATTGCGTATGGGTAGAAGCGCACAATGAGCAAAATACCGATATTCGTAGCCCGCGTATGAACGGATGCCTAGGAATGGGTGTGATTTCATCCAATGTGTCGTCGGAGCCGAGAGGGTCGGCTGACGATCTGGGGCTAGTGGATTTGCACGCGGCTGGAAGACATCGTGGCATCCTCGGAAAAGCATCCTCGGAAGACACCCTCGGAACTTACAACGTATAACATCTATATACATGTGAAATTATATTGGCTATACTTGCTGAAGAAAATAGAAGAGCAAATTGACTGTGCCGGGGGGAAATAAAAGACGTTCCAATTTTAGGTACCCATCCCGAGACCAGGTGAGACCCGATCGGGGTGGAGGCGTCATAACGACTGTATCATGAGTTGCGCGTACCACCTATGCAGTAGGATGGACAGGAAGCAGGATTAGCAGGATTAGCAGTATTCCATGTTGGCAAGATTGTGAGGGTTCAGTCTTGTATGGCGATAATATGGAATTTAGCCCTGCATCGTGGAATGTGATATATATCCCAATATGTATTCTTATTTCTCTATCTCCCCTGAAAGAGAAGCTTGCAAGGGCACGTTTCAAAGTCGCGTCGGATACGAAGAGGGAACAAAGGGAACCTCTTTCAAGCCAATGGTAGAGATGATAACTGTAATTGTTTGTCAGGCGAAATGGGTTGGATCTGTTGTTCCCTTCTCCGGAGGTCTGATCGCCGTTATATATCTCCCACATGAACATCTTACCTCAACCCTAGGTCAACGCGTGGACCTTGGAATTTATCGGTGAACATATATTTTACACCGTCTACACAATTAGATTCAAATTAGATTCAATTCCATAAAATTACTCGGTCCCACGGGTGGATTTCCCAACGGAGTAGTCCGGCACGTTATACCCAAAGAGTGCAGACCTTGTTCGGCCAGTTCTCGGCGGCATCGATCGTCATTGGAGAGAGTAGTTTAAATTACCTACTCCATACATATATTATTATGATTATGATTATTGACTATGATTGTGATTACCTTGACTCTAATACTCACCGTGCGGTTGCTTTAGTATATGTATTTCATCCCACTCTCTCGATATCCGATCGCGTCTAAGGACCCACAAGTATTCTATTGTACACGAG